AAAAAAAAACGAGAAGAGAGTCACATAAGTCCAGCAAAATCTCACCAATAATGATGAGATTTCTGTTGAGACTTTTTCTTTGTAATTTTGTTACAAAAGTCTCACAATTTAAAAGTCTCAAAGTCTTTCTGTTTTGAATACAAGGTGACTAGTAGAGTACTCTCATAAGATTTTAATTGAATACACTGAGACTTTTAAAGCTGAATACAGGAAAACTTTTCATAAGTCTTTAAAAGTTTTCTGAAAGTCTTAAAAAGTCTTAAAAAATCTCTAAAAGTTGAAATTAAATACACCCCTTCAAATTGAATACACCATCCTTAATTAAGATGTGTGAAAATGACTCATGTGAATAATTTTAAAAATTTAGAAAATTTTCAGAGTTAGACATATTTTAAGATTTGGGTAATATTCAATATTTGAATTTATATGGTATATGTAGAAAATTAGAAAAAATTGAGATGATAAAATTAATAAAGCAAGATTAGAGAAAGAGTGGAAAAAAAAAAAAGTAAAATTACAATTTGTGAAACTTATCAAATGTGATCTCTTTTTTTAGATAATGAAAAATTACAAATTTAGTATTTTTTTAAAAAAATATATATATATAAATTAACACCAATAAATTAAAATAACTTTTATCTTATCTTAAATACATATTCGTTATAATAGGATAATTGTTTCGTATAATTGCCTTATCCACCATAGAAACAAATAGGTTGCGGCAATTTCACCTTCATGACTACATACACTAGAGGAGCCCTTTTGTGCTGCATTAACTAAATTTTAAGAGTTAATACAAAACAATCTACTCATGCTGCAAGATAACTGCCTCTTCCGCTATTATCCAGTCTTCACTGCCAGATTTGACTTGATACGACGAGTCTGCACAGTTCTGAAAGAGATCGACCGAAACAAATTAAAATTCTAAAACAGAGAAACAATAAAAGAACAAGATGGCGGAAAACGTAAACTTCGGGAAAATCACAAGTATCAACCTAGATGCTTTGTCTAATAACAAAATTTACTTGCGGGAGTAACATATATAAACATAGAACCAAAACAATGAGAAGATTAAATAAATAAAGATATAAATAAATAGAAGGTTGCAATCAGCAAGCCATTTTGTGTCGTAAAATCTGATGTCAAACTAATGTCCGACTTTCATCCTTCACTTAATTTACCTCAACTCTTTTCGTAATTACCTTGGAACAAGTGTAGACTAACAAAGTCATCCAATTAAATTTCTCTAAGGATGTTCTCTGCAAGTCGTTGGCTGCTTCCTGCAGAAAGTGTATCAATGGCGTCATCAACTGCAGTTCATAATGCCTTTGCCCACCACATAGGTTACACATCCCGGGATTTTCCGTTTCTTCAGAAGCCAATAGAGGCTTCCCACCATAAGAATATCTGGGTGCCATAGTGAAAAGGAAAAGAAAATGAGAACTAGAAGGCTATTAAAAAAAATCAGCTATAGCAGCCTCAAGAAAGTATTTACTTATGCAGCATAATAACAAAAATGGCTATGAAGGTTTATCCAATTTGTCTATGAAAAAAAAAAAAATATATTCAGCAGCCTAGTAAAACGTCCCTTGAATGATGGGTACAATCTTTCTCTAGAACTAGCGGCTGTTTACACGTCATTTTGAAGTTATCGATTATAAAACCGTCAGTATCTGTAATTATACATAAATTTTAACAGGATAAGGATAAGCACGACTGAATGATTTTGAGAAGCTGTTTACCTGAAACATTGCTCTGGGTAAGCATCCACACGTTTCTTGAATTTCAGGTAAGTCCTGTCGGCACTCAATGCTCTATCATATTCGTAATTCTCTTCTTCATATGTTTCTCCAGTTGACTGATCTTCCAAAGTGTAATCACACTGTTGCATCGAGAGCAAGGAGGCCTTGGAACTCTTGTTGGAAATATTTTTTGATAGTTTTTCTTCTAAAGGGCATATGTAGAAGCATGGCATCACTGCAATGAGGCAACGAAAGAGTTGAAATCTTCAGTTAATTGACGCATACACATCATTCAGGAAACAAGTAGATAAATGAAGATACATAAATATTGTGGGTGTATCAAGATCAGCATTTGGCGAAAAGGATAGTACAAGAATTACCCTTAGCCCTGTGGTAATTGAAGAAAAAAAAAACATAACAAAAAACGAAACCAAAAAAAAAAGTTAAACTTTGTTCACAATTACTATACTACATGCATAAAATCATAATTTATCAACTTGTAAAGCTGTAGAAGAGAGAGATGAAATTAAATTAGATTAAATTGATACATATTACTTCATATAATAAATCATGAAATATTAACCAAACCAAAAATCCAAAAATTTTTATATCCAATCATTTCAAATTCCCTAAACACTCAAATTCAAATTGGTTTTGGTTCTTCAAAGAATTTCCAAAAGAGTTTCGGATAACGATAAAGAAGCTAGAGAAATGGGGATAATCATTCTCAATTCAAACATAAATACCAACGTTCAGTTAGATGATTCTATCAACCTACATGTCTAGAGATTTAACCTCAATAATTTTTCGTAACAAGAGGATAAACATTGACGGCAAATTAAGCAAATCAACAACACATATGCAATATAGTTACTAACAAGCCTATTCTACACGAGCTCAGATTCAACGACTCCTCCCATCTCAGTTGTAAAGTTTGGAACGAAAGGTGATCAATCTTTCAACCCTAGATATAATACAACCCACGTAGAATAATCGAATATCAAAAGTTCGATAAACACATGAATATCAACAATCATCCCCTATCCTCTATCCTTAGCAAATGAAGTTAGCTACTCATGTCAAGACCAACACAATAAATCATATCTCAATGAAACACATAGCCAAAACAAGAGGAATGCGTACGATTAATACAAAGTCAAAAATCGAATCCAAAGCATAAACCAAATCCACAGTGCAATTCTTGGTGTGTCACTCTCCAAATCCAAATTCAAGCTAAAGATTGTTTTTGAAGAGAGAAAACTAAAAAAGACGCAGTGTAGGAATCGTCCAAAGCCACGAGCTCGATGGCTCTTAAATAACAATCCAAAAACAGCATAAACAAAACAATTTCGAAGCAACTTTGATAACAAATCCTAGCCCTCCCTCCAGGGGCGTAGCCAGGAAATTTTTTAACCTGGGGTTGCATATTATTGTAGCTATTATTAGAACCTTCTAGACATGGTCATGAGCCGACCTAGCCTGTCGGTTCGGCCTGAACCGACACAAACTGGCCCGTTGACCATGGGTCTTGAACCGGTCCGTGGTTTTGACTTGTTAGATTCATATACAATACCTTATAGATTATATATTTTGAACATGCAGTTTCGGTTCCAGATTGGAATCGGATTTCGGCATTTTTTTAAAAAATATTATTTTAATTATTTTTTATTTTTTTTAATGAACCGGCCGACCAATAACGGACCGTTCAATGAACCGACCCGTACATATGTTCGTGCCGGTTCATGGTCCTCCAACTCTCTGCCCGGTATCGACGGTTTCGACATGTAATCAGTTTTGGTTATGATTAGAAACAAAATATCATTTAACATATGTCCGTTTGAATTGAAAAAACTCAATCTTGAATCTTTTTTATATTTAAACAAGCCAAACTCAAATAGCTAATCGAATTTGTCGATCAAACAAATAGAGTCGAACATGTTTGCAATCAACTCTGTACGAGATTTCTCTTTGTCTAGGAAATGATGTCGAGTTAAATATTGGAGGCGAAATCAACAAAAAATAAATAAATAAATAAATAAATGAAAATAGATAATGGACTGTAGACTGAGACGAACCTAATTAAATAGCCCGTTTGAAAAGTCTGTGTCAAACTTTATTATCCAACTCATTTGATATTTATCAAGTCAACCGATTGAAAATATGAAAGGCAAGAATGTGTTAAGTCACATTATAAACTCAATTGATAAAATCTAATAAGCTATAGTTGTCATTTGACAATAAAGGATTGTATTTTTTCCTCACTACAATCATCATTTTTTCATCATTATTGTCAGATAAAAAAATTTTAACCTGAAGATATTCTTGAGGCATTCAGCCTAAAATTAAATGGGGCTACATAAAAAATCAAATGGGGCTAATGGGTTTATGTATAATTTTTTTAAAAAAATAAGGCTAGCAAAAATAACGTTAGCAAAAAATTACATGGGGCTGGAGCCCACCCTAGCCTTAGGGTGGCTCCGCCCCTGCCTCCCTCCAAACCCATCCGACACCGATGCTCCACCCATCAATCTTAGCAGCGCTCCAACCACGCGAACTCCGCGAGTCCCCCTCTCCAAAGACCTCGTTCCCTCCAGCCAACCTTGCTCGTGAAGAAAGTGCTCCAAAAGCTCCAAATTTCAGGCAACCTCATCATCTCTGGCCATCCCAAAGCTTCAAGGTACAAGAGCTATTACAAGTCTTGATTGGTCGAGTTGTGGAGACCATCTTGGTTCAATCTCTTCAACAATATCACGCACCACATATCCGACAAATTGCCACAACTAGTCAAGAGAGCTTGTTTGATTGTGTCCATTCATATCCTTCGAGGGTATCCAATAATCGAGCATGGAAATGGCTTCATCGTCAAAAGCTCCCCCACGGGCAAAGGCAGAGGCAAATGCAAAGCAATCATAGGAAAACCAAAAGCTACCCTACCTTGGGTCACGTTGTGACAAATATCTCCGACTACTTCAAAGTCCCAGACACTAATGAGCCAGGCATCACCGCAACGCTATCGGCTGGATGGAACTCCGGAGTGTCGATCTCATAAATGATCACCGCATGCTCATGAACTATACAGAGCATAAATGCTATCTTGCTAATGTGAAGGAGATGAAGATGACAGCAGAGGCTCAAGGCCAGGCGCCAACAGAGAATGCCGAGCATGACTCGGAAAATGAGGAGCAGCCCAACTAAACGGACCATTTCTAAAGGGCGTCCCAGACGCACCACCCACCACCTTAGCAGGCAGCAGCCCCTATAGAGATGGTGCGTCTCTACAAGAACCACACGGGCCCTGCTCAGGTGGTGCCCCTGGACGCCATGCAGGCCTGCTGCGGAGGTGGTGCATCTATGACTCCATGTATAGATGTAGGCATATAAAAATACAAATCCGTCTGGTGGAGCTGCTCCTCATTTTCCAAGTCATGCTCAACATTCTTCATTGGCGCCTATTGAGATGGGCCTTCAGCCTATGTTGTCGTCTACATCTCCTTCACATAGGCAAGATAGCATTTACGCTCTGTATTATACAGTTCATGAGCGTGCGGTGATCGTTTATGAGACCGGCACTCCGGAGTTCCAACTAGACGATGGCCGTCGCGGCGATGCCTAGCTCATTAGTGTGGGGACTTGTAGTCGACGATCTTTGTCACAACGTGGCCTAAGGTATGGTAGCTTTTGGTTTTCTGCTCGAGCTTGTTTGAGAAATGGAAGAAGGCACACGGGTTTGTTTTCGCTCATAGTCCCCTAAGATAAACACTCCATGTGCTTCCCAAAAATGTTGTACGAGAGGAATTTGTTCACAACCGCAATAGGTACCTCTTTGATCAAGCCCGACTATGGTCCGGTGCTTTTAAAAGTTTTGCACGATGATAAAGGTGGCCCAGTGCTTGTCGACGTGGAACTTTTTGGGTTTTTGGCGTGCACCCAAAGACTTAAAAACGAAAATGTCTCGAGTTCTTCCCCTTTTTAGGGGACTAGGGAGGTATTTCCCGTGCTCTTGCGTCTCGACCGTACTATAGAACTCGAGGGTGAGTTCCTTGTAGGAAGTTAATTTACCATCCACATATTTCTCTAAATTAAGTACCTTTAAGTAGTTTCTGACATTCTCGGCCATATTAAGGTCCTTTAGCACATCCCAATTGAGGACTCGAGACCTAATGAATTATCGTGAGGCGAGGCGTTTGTACGTGGCCGCTTTTGCTTTGTAAAGATCGGGAATGGAATGTCGTGAATCTTCGCCAAATTAGGAATTTCCGCCGTTGGGTTCGAATCTGACTGGTTCGAGTCGGCCGTTGACTCGAGCGGGGTTCCTATGATTGCTTTGCTTTAGTATATGCCTTTGCCATTGTGCGTGGGAGGAGCTTTTGATGACTAAGTCTTTCTCATGCTCGATTATTGGATACTCTCGAAGGATGAGTGGCAAAATCAAACTAGATCTCTTGCCTAGTTGTGACAATTTTTGTCGAACACGTGGTGCGCGGGAATGAACCTTAACATTTTTGAAGAGATTGAACCCAAGATGGTCTCCACAACTTAACCAATGGTTCTTGTACATTGAAGCTTTGGGAACGGCAGAGATAATGAGGTCGCCGAAAAAAATTTGGATCTTTCGGAGCAATTTTTTCACGAGCAAACCGGAGGGAATGAGGTCGGAGTTCGCGTGGTCGGAGCGCTGGTAAGAATGATGATCGGAGCACCGATGAGGGAGACGGTCGATGTAGGACGGGTTTGGAGGGCTAGGATTTGTAATCAAAGTTTCTTCGACACTGTTTTTTGTTATGTTGTTTTTGGATTGCTATTTAAGAGCTATCGAGCTTAGGGCTTTAGATGATTCCCACACTGCGTTTTTTATTTTAGTTTTCCCTCCTCAGAAACAAATTTTAGCTTGAATTTAGATCCTGGAGAGTATCACTCCAAGAAGAATTGCATTGTGGATTTGGTTTATGTTTTGGATTCGACTTTTGACTTCGTATTGATCGTAAACATTCCTCTTGTTTTGGCTATGAGTTTGATGTGTTTGATTGATATGATTTCGTGTGTTGATCTTGACATGAGTAGCTAAATTCATTTGCTAGGGATAAGGAATGATTGTTCATATTCATGTGTTTCTCGAACTTTTCATATTTGTCCATTCTATGTAGGTTGTATTATATCTAGGGTAGATCGATTGATGATCCAATTAAAAGACTTTTATGACTGAATGGGGTGGTCGTTCGATCTAGACTCGTGTAGAGTGGGCTTGTTCGTAATTGTATTGCATATGTGTTGTTGATTTGCTTAATTTGCCGTTCATGTTTACCCTCTTGTTACGAAAAGTAATTGAGGTTAAATATCTAGACGTGTAGGTCGATCATCTAACTGAACGATCATTTGCTTGGTATTTACGTTTGAATTGAGAACGATTATCCCAATTCCGTAGCTTCTTTATCGTTATTCGAAACTCGTTTGGAACTTCTTTCAAGTTGAAAATTGAATAATTTCGTTGTTTGGAACCTTAGTTAATCGAAAACCAAAACCAATTTGAATTAGAGTGTTTAGAATATTATTTTCTCTTTTTGTGTTTGATTATTCTTGCAAAATACTTCGGCTAGCCTTCCTTGCGATACGACCCAGGGATTGAACCTTTCGATTCAACTCCGGTAAAAATAACTACAATACTTACTAACAAAATAAGGCTCTTAAATCGTGGCATACTAGATGTAGTCCATGCAGTTTTGTTTTGAAAAATCATACTTGCCAAGCCCAGTGAATTTATCCGCAAATGGTAAGAGTTCGAACTCTCCGTCGTTCTTACTCCACAAATAAAGCATGGACTTCAAGACTTGTTCAATATATATATATATATATATATATATATATATATATATATATATATATATACCTTAAAATGAGTACGTGAGACTCAATCCATTTTATGTTGATCAATGGTTCATATTAATCAATTATAATACACATAAATTAAATAAAAAATGTGAATTATTTTATTTAAAAAATAATTATTATTATTATTATATTAAAATTACCTAAATAATAATTGAATCCATTAACCGGTCGTTGACCGCTGGCAGCAGGCGGCAATTGATCAGTCAACAGCTCGCCAAAATTGGATTTCGTCAAAAATCTTTAGTCTCCGCCGCCATCGACCTCCGCCAGCCTTCATTGGCCGCAGCGAAGGACCAAGCCTGATTCAAGGCTTCACCCTGGACCGCGGCTTCCAAATTTTCATGACGTATCCTGAGAAGGTTCTCGACTACACCACGCTTGACCTCCGAAGGTTCTACTTCGGCGCTCGGGTTTTCTACTGAGGCGGTTCTGCATCTTCAGAGTCGAGCGACTAATTTTTGTCCGCCTTAGGCTCGGCCGGCTTAAGACGGAGGCGATGGGAACCGAGATGGGCATCCCATGTAAATTTGTCCCCAATCCGCTTGAAGAGTTGGGGGTGGGATTGTGTGCTAGGGCTGAACTTGAAGGATGATGCCCTCGATCAACAGGAGGTGGCGAGGACCACAACGGTGACTAGGGAAATTTGTCGGCCTGCGAGAAGGTGGCGAGGACCACAACGGTGAATATGGAAATTTGTCGGCCTGCGTGGGATTCCCGATGGAGGCGAATGGAGGCTAGGGTTTTGCAGATTTGGGGCAGGGTTGCTTGGAAAATTTGATAATTGTTGGGGATTAAATTGCAATTTCAAAAACTTGTAAGTTATTTCAATTGAATCCTTGGGGTAAAATCTGTAATTTATTTAAAATTTAAATAACTACAATATGACACTTAAGTTTTTATACCATATAATTCATGCACATTTAGTTTATTTCTGTGCATTTATGGATAATACACAATGCATACTTTGTTATAAATAATGCATAGTTAATTGAGAATAAAAAATACATATTTAGTTCATAATACGTATTTAATTCATTCTTTGTGCGTATTTAGTTCATTTATTATGTATATTTAGTTCATACGAAAAGCATATTTAATTAATCCATAGTGTATATTTGTTATATGTAAATTAAATACATAAATGAAGCGTATTTAGCTCATTGAAGATGCATATTTAGTTAAAATGAAATGCATATTTGCTATATTTAAATTAGATATATAATAATGCATATTTAGTTAACTCGTGATGCATATTTAGTTCATATGAAATGCGTACTTAGTTCACCCACCGTGTATATTTGTTATATTTAAATTAAATATATAATGATGCATATTTAGTTCATTTATGATGCATATTTAGCTCATTGATGATGCATATTTGATTCATCCATAGTGCATATTTGTTATATTTAAAATATATATATAATGATGCATATTCAGTTCATTCATGATCATATTTAATTAATATGAAATGCATATGGTATATTTAAATTAAATATATAATGATTCAAATTTAGTCAATTTATTATGCATATTCAGTTCATACGAAATGCATATTTAGTTCATCCATAGTTCATATCCATAGTTCATATTTGTTATATTTAAATTAAATATATAATGATGTATATTTAGTTCATTCACAATGCATATTTAGTTCATTGATGATACATATTTAGTTCATACGAAATGCATATTTAGTTAATGAAAAATGAATATTTAGTTAATACGAAATGCATATTTAGTTTATCCATAGTGAATATTTGTTATATTTATTAACTATATACATGTGCATATTTTGTTGATACATATCTAGTTCATACGAAATGCAATTTAATTCATAAACAATGCATACTCAATTGATATTATTGGTGCATATTTAGTTCATAAGGATTGCATATTTAGTTCATGTAAGGTGCATAGTACAGAATGCATATTATATGCATAATGCATATTATATGCATAATGCATATTAACGATCAACGGTCAATGGCCAAAATAATATTTAAATAAGTAAAATAATAAAAAAAAGAATTATTATTTAAATAAAAAATTAAATCTTTACCACACATCTTGATACCTATCTAGTGGCTAGGATGAGTCTCACATACTCATATATATATATATATATATATATATATATATATATATATATATAATGCATTTATGCAAGAAAAATTAATGTCCCCAAAATGCTTACTTTCACCTTTTTCTTCAACCTATCGTTTAACAGTAGTCTTTTAGGAACCAATTCCTTAAGAGTTGCATTACTCATAATTCGCATTTAAGATTTCATTCTCATATCTAACTACAGCCTCAAAATTTATTCCTTTTCCCTTAAAGATAAGATCATCACTATTATGTAGACAGATAAGAAAAATCCCAGCAAATCGTATTCGGTAGCAACCTAAAACATCTCTCACACTGCTTTCAGATTCCTATTAAATAACGCAACATGCAAAATCAGAATCCGTCAATCACTTTCTTTATATACATTCTAAATAATCCTCAATTAAGTCAAAAGAAAAAAACTGATTCAAAAAACAGTAATCCCACATTCGACCATAGAAACAAAACTACACTTGCAAGAGAAATTTGAGGAAGGACCTTACAAAGGACTCTCACAATGTGGGGTCAAACATCCAAAAACATAGATAATCCGCTCGTTTATTGCCAATGATTCACTTGATATCGGAGCATAAACCTGAGTACACATAACATAAGAAGCAATTTCAACGATTGTGATTTTTCATAGGAGTGTAAGAGTATGGAATTCAGGATGTTAAACCTGTGCAAGAAGACAAAGACCAATCCCACAAGTATTACATTCGAGCAGACTTTTCTTCTGTTTAACAATAGGAATTGGCCAGTCCTGATCATAGACATAAAAACCTCAGATTATGAGGAGACAACACATAACAGGAAAAAAAAAATGTAATTATTCTTTTTTTCCAGATTAGATTGATCTACATACTGGAATCCCTCCAATTTTTGTCGTGTATATGTCAGCTCTTTCGTAATTGCTATCAGCCCATGGACCTGGCATGCCTAAAACAACTCCATCCATAATTTTCCCGTTTCTGATCTAAAATAACATGAGAAGCCGTCAACATACTATAATAAAAAATAATTTTTTTTCTGGATGAATAACACTGACATAACAGATAGGCAGATTTTTGCCCTGATACATATTTGAAACTATATTACATCAAGACAAAGAAGAACAGTAGGAGAACAAATTGAAGCTTTCAGGTCCAAACTACTTGTACCAAAACCCATGTTTATATGATCAAGTTAAAGCGACAATCCACACGATGCAACATATTGATTCTTCATTATCCAAATTCATGATAGATTTAACTAACAACCACACTCTTCATCAATAACTACAGTTTCAGACAACCCCAAAATTAACCCAATTCCGATCTTTCAGCAAAAGTCGTAAAAATATGAACAAAATCTTTCAACTATATGTAAGACAACAGAAGTCCTAGTACACAGAGAAAATGGCAGATTAGAGTCGTACAGACTGCACAAGAATGCAAGCCACTCGCACATTATGTATGTATGAATGCATATCTTTTAGTTTATAATTAAGATTTCACGAGAAAGGTTTCATATCGCAATCGTAATTCAATAATTAGAATATGAAAGAGAAAAAGAAGGTATATACAAAACAGAGGCGAAATTGAAGGGAAGGAGATCAATGAACTGAAGTAGGTACTCGTGAATATCCAGCCATATAATTACCAACAAAAGAAATCAGCCAGAATTGAAGAAGAATAAGAAGACTGAAGCTCCCCTAGCCACCGTTTAGCTCTGCTGAAAACCCTACTGTAGGAGACACGAGGCTGTCCGCAACACGGGCCGTGAAAACTAGGGTTCGAAATTCGAACCTCGAAAATCGAACCAAAATCACTCTGAATAAAATAAAAATAGTTGTCCGTTTGAATTTTTTCTATAGAATTCACAAATATTCAGTACCGAGAACCATACTGAACCGTCTCATACCGTACCGATAACCATACTGAATCATCTCATATCGTACCGAACCGTATTATAACATTCAGATAGTTGTCCGTTTGAATTTTTTCTATAGAATTCACAAATATCCAGTACCGAGAACCATACTGAACCGTCTCATACCGTACCGATAACCATACTGAATCATCTCATATCGTACCGAACCGTATTATAACATTAAATGTGTGTTATTAATACATTTTATGTCAACTTTGGTCCTATATGATTTGAGAATTTTAAAAATACAAATAAAATATAATAATAATAATAATAATAATAATTAAGCTTCACTTAAATTTCATACTTAGTAATATTTGATCTACAATTGATTTTTCAAGTTATAAAAAATTTATTGAAAATGGTATGAAAGATTAAAGAATAATTTTCAAGAAAAAAGTATATTATATTTTGTTTGAACTAGTACGTAACCCGTGCGGTGCACGGGACAATAATTATAAATTGCATATATTAAAACAATGAAGGGATATTGATTAGTATACAAATAGTTTGGAATATTAATAATTATTTTTATTTTACTTTGTGATTTATGATAATTTAATACATGATTTATATGCTTATTTCACTTGTTGTAAAATAATTGTCATTTCAGATCATGTTTATAAATAAGGATAATGAAAATTTAACATATTCAAATATTATAAATAAATAGTACTCATCTCTATCTTCTATTCCTCATACCTTGTTACAACATATTATTTTGATTCTTAAATAAGTTAAGCTAAAGTTAAAAAAAATATGACAAATATTATAACCAACACTTAATTGAAAAAAAAAAAAATGTAATATATATTATTTTGAAGTTAAAAATATTTTTGGTTTTTTTATTAGGTGGGTATATCCTATGGGGGATAATTGGATACAAATTTATCTAAATATATCTAATTATTTTAACCAATCACTCTTTTAACTCTACTCAACTTTAACTCAACCTCGATATCGTCAATTTATCAATATAATTAAATAATATCAATTATTTCAACCTTACATATTACATCCACCTTAATTTACTCTAAACATCACTTCACATTACTTCTCTTATACTTTTATATCAAATCAACTTTAACTATTTTATTTTAAATATTATCTATTAATATATAATAAGGATTAACATAATTCAATTTTAGAAACTATTTCCCGCCAAATTCATTAGTTATAGCCTAAAAATAGTAAATTAACATAATTTTCTAAAATTGCTCTTAATTATTTTCGATTAACATTAATTTTTTTATGGAATAAATTTTTTTATGGAATAAATCATTTATGCCATTATTTCTGATTTTTATTTATGGAACAAATCATTTTGTGGCTCTATTAACAAAACAACGAGCATTAATTGCATATAATTTCCTAAAATGCTCTTATTTATTTCGGATTAACATTAATTGTTTATGGAATAAATCATTTTTTCACGCCAAGATTTCCAATTTTTTGTGGCTCTATTAACAAAACATCAAACATTAATTGCAGATACTATGAAATAAATCTCCTCTTTTTAATTCTTCATATAAAATCTCCTCTTTCAAGGCTCCATATAAATCATTTATATGATAATATCTTAACAATATCTTTCCATTTAAATAATTTTCATCAATCACTCTTTTCGGTACCAACGTGCTAAACAACAATTTGTATAAAAGGATATTCACTACCACGATTATTTCTTCACTTCATTCACAGTGTTCAGAGAAAAAAAATTATATAGATAAATTTTAGAATACATCGATAATATAATGCCGCCGGTCTGGGATACACTCGATTCCGTGAGTAGGACAAACAAATCTTATTTGCGATTGAAAGCAGTCCGAATAATTGAAGCGCATCACGAATGGGAGAGTTGGAACGCATTCCATATACTGTTTCATGATGAACAGGTAAACATTTTTATTAGTAATATCAAAATTATTTCTAATATATTTATATTATAAATTTCATTGTTCTTCCATGTCCTTGAAGGTTATTATTTCTAATATATTTATTGTTTTATTAATTTTATTATGTTTTATTGTCATTACATATCGTTGAATTATGAATTTTAGTGTTATTATATTTGTTATCGTGATATTACGTCTTTCATTCGTTTGGATTAAGTAATATTTACACGCTTGAATTATTGAGTTCCAATTGTTGTTTAAAATAAAATATCGAATTCTTTTTTTATTCTTTTATGCGCTTAAAAAAAATAATAAGCTTAATCAATTAATGAACTAATTAAATAATATAATAATACATTTGAGAGATTCATTTCTACAAATTGTTTCTATAAATTAATTAATTGTGTTTCTATAAATTGTGTTTCTATAACCAATTAATAATTTATGCATGTATAAATTTTTGTTTCTTTAATAAATTGGATTAATTAACTGTGTTTCTATAAAGATTAAACATGTTTCTATATATCTATTAAAACTTTTTCTCTCTCTCTCTCTATCTCTCTCTCTCTCTCTCTCTCTCTCTCTCTCTCTCTCTATATATATATATATATATATATATATATATAAAATATATTTTAAAAACTCTATAAATTGCCGATGATTGTAAAAAAGAAATTGCCGATGATTGTAAAACGGAAATCATATCTTCCATGTTGGAAAATTAAATCAAAAAACAATACTAATTCGTTCAGGTATCGGAAATTAAATCAAAAAACAATACTAATACGTACAATAAAAGGAAATTAAATCAATACGAACCAAATGCATGTATGCGTTTTTGCTTTATTCAACACGTTTTATACTTTTGCAGATTTAATACAAAAATAGTTTATATCTTCCACACGATAAAATACAAATGTACAAATCCATAAGATACATTTTGTGGCCGCATATTATGCAATTTTTTTTGAGTCTGCCAACAAGAAAATAAATATTAATATTTCAATTCATCAATTAATTAAAGTTGGATGTAAAGATTAGTATTTACATTCCTATAAAATACCCAAAATCCTACACCATCCAATTTTTATTCCCTTTCAATAAGTTTATAATTAAAATCCACTCTCAACAATTAAATTAATTGAAATTAATATATATTAATTGATTCCTATATATATAAATAACATATTTTATCAATTTCTCCAATTCCTGTCCATAAAAAAACGCATAGAACTTTCGGAAAATATTAAAAAAAATGAGAGAGTTATTTGATACACTCCATGCTGTTAATAAGCAATTCTAATTATCGAGATGAAATTTGACGTGGAATCCATTAATTTTTTTGAGATCATCTTTCAAGATCGTTAGGTAATATTTTGATTTGTTATATCTGTATTACTATCATACGTAATTTTTTAATTTAACTTTTTTTGTATAACTTCATATTGTAGGGTGCGCAAATAACTGTCATTATACGTTCTGTGCATATGTGTGCATTTCGAGGTGTATTTAAGCAAGGCGATATATATGCACTTAGGAAGTTTTTAATAATGTATAATTTTTTGCTAATGACGATTTTATGTTTACTTTATAAATGTCATACGTGTTATAACAACTTATTAATAAATGACCTTTTAATTTTTTAAATTTTTTCAAAACATGTACTAACCCGTGCATCGCACGGGTTACATACTAGTTTTAATATAAACTCAAAATCATCCTATCAACTAATTATACTACTTTTTTCAAACTTAGCCATACCAAACTAAAAAATTCAATAAAAAAATTATACCCAAGCATCCCGAATAGGTAATCAGTGCAAATTTGAAGTATTATATCACAATCCGATTTAATTAGTGTGTGTAGGTAATTTTATTTAAATTATAGATTTAATAAATAAAATATGAGATTATACGCGGTAGATTAGAAAATTAGTTTAGCCATTTTTTTATTTTTC